AAGCTCGGGCTCCAGTCCTTCGATTCAAGCGAGCCCTGATCGAACGATCCTGTTCTGCCATGATGACAGGCTCGATGATGCGCGACGCCGGTGTTGGTGATGTAGGGATGACAGGTGGTGACACCTACCTTCTCCGTTGACGATTCTGAGTTAGGGAAGGCCTAGTAGTTGTGGATGTGGTAGGCTGTTCCCTAACTTGACTTGCTTCCTGTTCTGTCGGCAGGTCCTCTCGATCTCGGGATCTAGTGGCAGTAAATTGCCAGTCGTCCTCCTTGGCATGCACGAGGAGGATAAACCTGAAAATTCTTCTGCACACTAGCACACAGATCAAAACAGTTCACTCACAAAAATCAATAAAAATAAGGTATGGCAGTTCCCCGCCAACGGCGCCAAAAACTTGATAGGGCAAAAGCGCAATGCTTGAATTTCCTATCTCGTAGTAAACCGGAAGTCCGGGTATCGTCTCTCAGGGACTGGTACAACCTTATGATTTATCAATTCTGTGGAGCAAACTATAGGTGAAACTGGTTTGGTTGATGAAATTATTATCTAATAGCAAAACAATTAAACAAAACAAGCAAATTAAAATGGTCGGGAGAAATTCAATGGGAGAAAGCTCTGGGAGAAACACCGGGACTCACTACCTATCCTATCCAGATTAATTCACATATTCCAATCAATTTAATCCAATTCTCTACAGCCAGGATATCACTACTGTGCTAGCTATCCCTGTCGGGAATTACTACGTACTAAACAATTAATTCAAATCCTACTGTCGTAGCTCAATGAATTAACTATATAGTCTGAAGATCGATATCCTATTTAAGACCGCATAGCACCTTATTTAATCCACTGTCGCTCGATAAGTTACTATGTCACATGAAACAGGTTCAGTTATTAGGGTTTCACTGTCGCTAATAACCTAATTAACTACAAATCGTTGTATTGGTGGCCAGTCAACACAAAGCATTAAGTAATTTCATGCAATAGAGATTGGAAGAAAAGAGATATGAATTAATCCATCAAATCTAAAAATAGTTGCATCCTATGGTGTTTCCCCCAGAAATTGGGGTTTAGTTCATTACGAAAATAAAACACACAATCACGTTCATAATCATCATGTTACGAAGCAAAGCAAAAGAAAACAAATACTAATAATTGCTTCCCGCTGCTCTGCACTCGATCGCCGCAACAAGCTGCTCGCTCCGCCCAAAAAGAATTCTCATTCTGCGCTGCCGCTCTCCTCCGCGCGACTCGTCTCCAATTAATTCCTACCCGAGACTTCGTCCGCTTCTGCTTTTTCCTTCTCTTATAATAATTCCGCTCCTAGCAATTGATTCCCCCCACAATTCAATCACCCGCCACCAAAATAAAGTCCCCTTTGATTCCGTCCTTTTGACTCCGCCCAGAGACTTTGGGACCAAATTAATTCCTCCACTCAAAAACGTCTCTCACTCCTCTTCCTGGCCCATGTCATTAATCCCCATCCAGTTGGGCTTTAAGCCCAGCATTCGAGAATTGTTTGCCGGTGCAACTTCTTTTTCGTGTTTTCTTCACCTGTAATACATTAAACTCATGGCACTAGGCAGTAATGGTTTTCAACCATTCTCGGGTTAGAGAGCCCTAAAATAGCACCAATTTGCTAAAACATACCATGGATAATCACATAAAGTTCAAGAATCCGATATATTAAAGCCGATTATCAACAAACAAGTTCGCGGCCGAGCAGAGGGAGATTGCGGTGGGGATCTTTTCTTTCTAGATCGCAATCTTCAGGCGTCAGCGTTTTGGTCTTCGTCTTCTGGGAGTTCGCGGTTGTTTTCATGGTCGCGATAATTGAGTCGCGATAGCGAACTTCCTCGCGGTCAGGGAAAATGGTGACCGTGATCCGACCATCAAAAGTTTATGTTCTCTCTTGGGTGGCTTCCTCACGAAGTTCACGCCCAAGGGCTCCAAGTTCGCGGCCGCAAACTATGGTTATCAGGCACGATCTTCTCTCCTTCTTCGCGGTCTTATGTCTCAGCCGAAATCTTCCATGTCCAGACTATGATCTTCAGCTTCCTACCCATTTCACTACACTTGTGTCCTTTTTCATACCTAATTCACATGTATCGTCTAAAGCACTCTAAAATCACGACATAATCAAACATGAACAAAATAGAGATGCAATCGATGATATTCTTTTGATTATGCACATGAATTAGCACGAAAGAAACCTAAATATGAAGGGCAAATAACACCAGTTTTGTTGTTATCAAAGGACGAAGCGCGGCGAGGCGCGGTCGAGTAAGTGAGGTTGTCGAAGACAAGCGACGAAGGCAAAACAAACGGAAGGAGGCGCCAGTGGAAGAGTCGCCAGGCACACGCTCACCTAGGTCTCGGTCGAGAGCAGATGGGGAGGACTGAGGAGATCAATGGCAGAGTGAACGAACGAGAGGGGAGGAGATAGTATCCTCGTGACCCCCTCGTGACCCTTTCAATCTACAGTGTAACATCTTTAAATTAATAATCGATAAATTAATAACATATAAACTAATAATTTCTCCGGTCTCGACTTGGGTCAGTGTAAAAAATGAGCAAATTTAATAAAATAATAAGATATTAATTTTTGAGAACCAACCAACATAAATACATGTATTTTTAACTCTATAAATTAAGAATTGTAATAATACAATTCATCTAGAGATTTATAATATAGGTAAGATAATCTAGAAAAATATGAATATATAGTTGTTTGTTTATTCTTGAAGTTCAAGTGTAATAAAAGTTCAACTTGAACTTTACTCATTGCACTCCAAGTCTTCGGTATTGTCTTCTCTAATTGCATCAAGTATTTTTGAAGAGTCGATGCGGATTTAAGTGCTTCCTTTCGCGTGACCGGTTCCAAAGGTGTTGAATCGTCATCTCCTTCATCAACAATTGAACCCCCAATGACATCGGCCACAATTTCTTCTAACGTTTGTCCCGCAATACATTCATCATTTTCACCTGGATACTCCAACAATTGACTTACATCCATCTTGTTACGACTTACGATAACCCATACCATTAATCATATTGTATGAACTTGAAATGTTTGAAAATTTATTGATTAATTAATAACTACTATAAATTAATAATTTTCACGATCCCAATTTATTAATTTATAGATGTTATACTATTTTTTTATTCTAGTTTTCTTTTGTTTAAGAAAAAAATGTGTCATGACAAGCCTAGTCATCACAGCTTACTGACTCACTAACGGGGAAAATAATTGACCGTTTAGTTTTGACGATCAATTCAAATAGCGGACCAAATTCGTCCATTTATATGAAAAGTTGGCCATAACTGTAATATTCAAAATTTCGGGTAGAAAAGCTATCACTTGACACTTATGCCAAACTTGAGGCCAAACTATCCCTAACAGAAAGAAAAGAGGGGGAAAAACTTGGATGAGTTCTAGTAGTCGACACGTACCATACCCCTCTATTTAAATCAAACCGACCACGATCGTCTCATTTGCTGCATATGTCGGTACCCTTTATTTTCAAGTTCTCTGAAAAATTGGACCTCCTATCCGTTTGCCATGGGTGTGAGCAAGGTTTCTCCAGCACAGTCTAAGTCTCGGCCTATTAACTATGACCAACAAAACAACTTTCAATAATACTTTTCTTTCTGGTTAAGTGTTCGATTACAATCTAATCTAAAAAGTACAAGCCTTTCTTCTCCGCCCAATCCCTAATAACAAATTGCTAAGCTGACTGCTTCCCATTTTTTTTGCTTTCTGATGATCACTTCACAATTAAGTCATAGGCTTTATTGTTGGTCCATCCTTCATCCCCATTCATGCCCGCCGCGCCAGACCCCTCGTCAGCTCCTGCGGGACAAACCCAAAAAAAAAGAGAAGACATGAGTCACCCATCATGATTTTTCCTCAGCTTTTTGACTACCACATCATTTGCTTCAGCTTTTGCCAGATGGGAAAGGCGAATCAAGTTCTTAATTAACACTAATAAAAATGTCAATGGTGGGATTCGATGCTCTACTGCTTTTCCACTGGAAAAGCAACCAGGGCAAGCAAATCTTAAACACGAAGAAGTCCCTGGTTAGTTTAGATTAGATGGCTGCTGCTCCTCTACGCTGAGCACAAACCTTTCACACTCTGCCTTTATTCCTATTCTTTCTTCTAATACTTCACCACCACGGAATATACCTCTCCTGTCACAACTCAGTTCTCTAATGGCCAAATGCGCGTCTGATCTAAATAGTAAATACAAAGACAAACCTAGTCAGAAACCATCTCTCATTTCATCAGAGTATTCGACGCTATTGATGCCAGAACAAGCTAATATGTCAATCACCTTTCAGGCCTAGAACGGGAAAGTGTCCTCAAGCGAAGACATGAACAGTAATGCTCTTTGGCTTTTGATGTAAGAGCAAAGTACTGTTTCAGAGTTGAGTTGAGAACAATACCTTCTGGTGAGTTTTGATCACCGAGGACAACAAGTCATCCCCAACAAGCTGCCTTGTTCTTCTTATCATTTGCTCTCTGGTAATTCTATGACGCTGCAGAGAATGGAAAAGGGGAAACCAGATTGCAGATCAGTAATAAGTACTTACTAAAGTTAAATTTGCGGCCCAAGTGCTCGAACTAAGACCGAATTTCCATAAGACTGCCCCTAACCTGAAAGTCCGCAAAGCTCTTGGAAACCATGGACATGATGCGCGGATCCAACATCCCTGACAGAACACTCATCAGAGAGGGAAAGCTCATCCATGGCGATCTGGGTCTCATCGAGGAACTCACGGGTGCGCCTCTGTTCGACCCTGGGAAACAATGGCGTCAGCCACCAATTCAACACCAAAAGCAGACCTGGCCAGCAGAACAACAATTGACAGTACCGGGAAGCTAGCATTGTGCTTACCATGAACATTAGCTGTGTCCTTGAAAGAAACTACGAAAGCTGGGAATATGTGGGAGTTCATGAACGAGCTCCAGACAACGTATCTTCTGGGCTTGGTCAAATGTCAACACCAGTGTCGTATTCAACGGAGCTGGGAGCTGATTGGCTGGAGCCAGCAGGCACCGCCTCCACTTTCCCTAGCAAAACGCGGCAGAGAAGCAAGTGCTTCGTCCCATCCCGGTCAGCGGTCGCGGATTCCAAGCTGTGAAAGAGAGCATTCCAGAAATCGGCAGTCAGCTCGCCGTTTTCTCAATTGGGTCGCAATTGATCGAACGAATTAAATTTTTTTTTTTTTTAAAACTTACCAGCCCGTGGGAAATGAAATTGCGGAAAGATGGACGCCGACACCGTGCGTTAGGCCGCCACCGCCGCTGCACCGACTGAAGCCGAAGTTCAAAATCTGGCGAATCTCGTCCCTGGAGCCGCCGTACCAAGCGTACCGAGCGTTCGAGTGACCGCCGCCGCCGCCGCCACGCCTCTCCGCCACCGCCTTCTCGTGGACCCGGAACGAGAAGAAGCGCGCCTTGGCATTCGGCACGGAGAGGGAGTTCCTGTGAACCGCCGTGACCCTGACTCCGGCGGCGCGTGCCTGCCCTAGACCGTCGAGGAAGCACTTCTTGATGGTGGAGTGGTGGACGGTGTCGTCTGCCAGCGGAGAGAACCCGCTGCGAGCGAACGCCTCGATCCGCCCGCCGCAATGGAGAGGCGCCCCGGGGGATTCGTCGGAATCGGATTCGGGCCTCAAGATTTCGTCATCGTCGATTGAAATAGTATCTTGCTGCTGCTCAAGCGGAGGAACAACCGGTGGAATCCGCTGCTCCTGCAGAGGCATCATCATCGCAAAGAGGCGTTACGCACACAGAGATCACAAGACCAAAGGAGAATTCATCAAGTTCCGTTCCAACGTCTCCATCCTAATCCCTAACCCAATCCCCTCGAAGTTCGATGATGAAACCGAATTCACGTGAAAAGAATCAGCACCGCCATTCGTAATTTACCAGAGGAAGGGAAACTTGCTCATCACACAAAGGAAAGGGGAAAAAAAACAAACTAGTCCTAGTATTAATACTAATCAAACTCCCAGACTAAACAACTTTCTTGCCCAGGAAGTAATGAGCTCCTCCAAACCCCTGCCCAAGAAATCAGACACAGAGAAATTGAGAGATAACAGAATACCAACCTGGAGAAGAGCCGCCGCATTCGTATTCCAATTCCCATAGTAAGCGTCGCGGAGCATGGTGATTATCAGTACAGGGGAAGAGAAGCTAGTAGAAACAAACCAACAAGAGAAGAACCTCGGGGAGATGGAGGACGTGGATCGAATCGGATGTAGAAGAGTGTTTTGAGTGTGGAAAGAAGGGATTTCAAAATCGGAATTCACAAGGAGAGGGGAATCAGTGAGGAGGAAGGATTTACAGGAGCAAGCAGAGAGTTCATTTTTTCTGGATGAAACGGCTAATCGAGCTGGGGCAGTTGGAACTTTTATAATACGAAACCCAGTTTGGCGGTTTTGGAAGGGAGGGGAAGAGAGGAGCCAACAAGTTTTTGGCCGCTGTTCCAATCCAAATGGCTGGCTGCTGCTAATGGCGGTCTGGAATGGAACGGCTCCTTCTCTCCCTTTCTCTCTCTCGAGCTCTGGGTCTCTGTGGGCGTGGTCCGTTTTTATATTCTTCGGTTAAGCAATGATGGGGCCACGGTGCCAGTGCTGCATTCTTTTCTTTTATTATTATTAATTAATAATTTGCTTTCTATCTTGCTTTTGTCGTGACCATGTTGAAATTGAATTTGTTTATGGCGGTGGAGAAATGACAGCTATGCCCCCGTCGTTGAAAGTCAAAGCCGTTGCTTCTGCCTTTGCCTTGTAGAGGAGGGAATGGCCGAATGAGGCAGAGACTGAGGGGGGGTTTGTAGTAAAATAACAACCATCTGATATTTCTTTTATTATTGTGTTTACGGTTTGGAAGAAGGAATAGGGGTGCGGTGGATTGGGCTAGAAGAAAGACGTGGGCCGGTCAAGAGTCATGAGGTTTGGCGGGCTGTTGTTACTTCATGGGCAAGTCTGGTGAAAATAAAACCGACCCACTTCATGTCGACTCTTAGAACAGGAGAGTCTCTGAAAATATATTTACGACAACTTCTACTATACTATAAAAAATATTGGTAATGTACCGTTTAAAATTGTACCATTATGTTAAATGTATAAATTCAGGTTGTACTATAAAACAACTTGTATCATTATGTTATGGTATAAGTTCACAATTTGAAATTGTACCATAACATAAAAGTACAAGTTCAAGTTGTACCATAAAAAAATTTGTACTAAAAATATAGGTACAATATGAAGTTGTACCATAACGTTGAAGGTATAATTTCAAGTTGTATCATAAAGACAAAAACCTATAGCACCAATGCTATATAGCATTGTAAAATTCCTCATTCAAACATTAATATGTTATTTTATTTTAAAAAGTTATTAAATGTAATATCAAATTTTAGACAAAATATTACGCCTCTTATTTTTTAAATTCAATATATATATACACATCCAGCTCAAGAGAAAAATAAAAAACTTTAATAGCCCATTTGAAAATTTTATTATCAAATTTATATAAAAATTTTATTTGTATTTTATATTTTATTTATAAAAGAAAAATAAATTATAGGCATACTGCACTCCACGGTTTTACTGTTTCATATTATCTTCCAATCTTTTATAACCATCAACCGTCAAACTTTCGTTCCCTTCCATCAATAGCATAATAGTATAAAATATTTCAAGATTCTAATACAGAAAATTCTTGAACCAATCCAAACAATCTATAGATAAGTGGCCACCTCAGTAGCCTCATCAAATACATCTCTTCTAATCTAGTCTTGAGCTCTTAATCCGAATTGAGTTCACACCACATGTAAAGAGCTCAAGTTCAATAGAATGTTAGTTGATCACTGGTGGCTGATAGATAATATGTCTGCTAATTAATCTGAACCCTACAGAGAGCTTGTATAATCATCAACTATTTTTTGTCCTTACTTCCATCTAGGCCTGTCGGTTCAGGTCGGGTAACCGAACCCAAAACCGCAAAAAACGAGAAACCAAAACCGAACCCCGCCAACCCGAAACCGAAACCGACCATCTGCTTTGCGGGTTTCGGGTACAGGAACCCGAAAAATACACTGCGGTTTTGGTTCGGTTCGGGTGAACCCGAAGCCGAACCGTTTTGTTTTTTTTTTTTACTTTTGTGATTTGAATTTTACATTATTTTGCTTGTACAAACAATTTTATTCTTATTATTTGTACATTCTTATTTAATCATTATGTTTAATTTTATGGGACGTAGACATTATAAAACTAATATTTATATATTAGTTTATTATTAAAATATTAGTTAATTATTAAAATATTTAATATTATGTGTTCTATAACTATAGACATACTATTAACTATTAAAGAGTATTACTAGTTTAGAGACAAAGTAAAATACTTAAACATATTTTACACGTAAATTAATCATATCTTATTTTGCTATGTTAAGTAATACAACCTTTTGGGCCATTTAATTGTGGATTTTCATATAATTAAATGTTTTAGTAATACCATAGGTCCAAAATTAAAGGTATATCAACTATCATATGCAAAAAAAAAATGTTTGGTGTTTGACGCAAATTATAAATAATTTTGTTCAACATAAAATACCGACAATCATAGATGAGATTATCTTCTTTGTTCTAAATGTAGACAAACATAAGCAGAAAGAAGCAAACTATGGTAATAAGAAAGGTAGTCCTCTCCTTTCGAGCAATATTCTTCCCTACTTTATCCTTCTGCAAATAGCAAACTAATAGCAATCCCCTTTGTGCCGACTCTTTTACTGACCCCTTACAATTTAACACTGTATGCGTATATGGGGGCTTTCTTTACATCACTAAGGCCCTTAAACAAAAGTACATGTTCTAGTCAGTTGCAGCAGCAGAATGGATTTGAGTCATTTTACTAATCAGTATCATTACAAGTTTACAACCCATGTTTTGAACAAAAGTATTTTTGGTGGCTTTGTACTGTTCTCATAAACAAAGAGCTGCGAAACTTCAATCCAGGGAAAACAAACAATCTCCATTATTACTGAAATCAATCTCATTGTATCAAGAACTAGGTAGTTGCAGAAAAGTCATAACTCAAATATGCTTCTTAACAAGAAAGTGGATGCCTGATTCAGTTCCCGCTAGCATTCTATAACTCAATTAGTATGTCAAACCTCCTCCTAGGATTCTTGTCCAAAGCAGAACCCATGAGTGAATTTCACCAAAGCAGAACCCACGAGTAACAAATTAGCTACGGTAACAAGAACCCAGTAATAAATTGAAGCAATAGAAGAATTGTTCGAAGAGACTCACTGGGATTCCATGTTCGGAAGTAGGACTTGGATCACCGACAACCCAATCTTTCGCCTTCACGGCCAACGTCTTCACGAACTCGTCGTAGATCCCTTCCTGCACAAAAACTCGCGAGCTCGCTACGCAGACTTCGCCCTTGTTGTACAGGATCCCCAGGAGGGCGAGATCCGTGGTGATTTGAATTGGAGGTAGGGGTGTGGCCACTCTCTCTGTGAAACCAGCAATGGAAGAAGACGAAAGAAGAAATTGAGGAAGGGGTTGCAGACTTGCAGTGGGTGGAGTAGAGAGCAGCCTACAAATTAGCTGGCGGCGACGGCGAGGACGATGATGGTGGCGACTGGTGAGGGAGCTCTGTTCGTTTGGCGAAGACGAAGAGAGTGAGTCAGTGAGACTGCGCTGCGCCTGCGGCTGTTTCGTTTGGCGAAGACGAAAACAGAGCTAGAGCTGAGCCTGAGGTTGACTCTCCTTCCCAAAACGATAGCGTGAAGCCCCACTGCCCGAGTATCAGTTTTCGGTTTTCCGGGTTGCTTTTCGGTTTTGCGGATTTCAGTAACTCGAAACCGATACTATAGATATCGGGTTGAACCCGAAAAAACCGAAACCGAAAATGAAAAAACCGGTTCGGGTTAACCCAAAAACCCGAAACCGAATTGACAGGCCTACTCCCATCCACTATATGTATGCCTATCTCTGTTAAAACAATCGCTCATTGTCTTTCAATCGCATCACTTAATTCATGATGTTTTTCGAATTCCTCCAAGTTCGTAATTTTGTTCTCTAAAGTAGGAGTTGTCAACCCATGCCCCCTCAAATAGTGTGTCTTAAGGATAAATTAATATTAGAGAATGTGTAAATAATTTAAATAGAAATGAAAAGGTTCAGACCATGTAGTTATCCACAATTGGATAAATAAGTATCTACCCATTCTTAAGCATCAATGTAAAAGAAACTTAGTAAATGTGCTCATTACTCAACTTTGGCTACCTTATGAAATAATAAATTTCAATCAACTACAACTAATAATACCACAAATAATCAGTACACTTCTTATTAGGTCCGACAGGCCAAAGCTTGACCTGACTAGTAATCCAATAAACACAGTCGCGCAAAAAGGCCAATTGCTAACTCCTAACCTCGATGAGTCAAATAAGACCAATCAGGCACCTAGATCTAGGAAGCAGTTTATCCATCCATTAGTCATGCAATATACCTTTATGATCGCTATTACCTTCATTTTGGAGTTTTGAGCTTCTTTACATTCCTGGCCAAATCATTTACAAATAACTAGTGAGTAACTAAGGCTTACCTTTTAAATTAATAGAATTGGCTACTCATCCACCTTGCATTTGCTATTTGTATTTGAATGACATGTTTCATTTTAAGGTTGAACAAGATGTAATTGGTCGGTTTCACCACATGAATTCAATGAGCTTACTTTATGGTTATAGATTGGAACACTAAAACACATCATCAAGTTAGACATGATTAAATATATGATGTCCCTATTTTGCTTATACAGGTGTGCTTTATGAATCTTTCCGGTTTTCTTCTTCTTGGTTCATAATTTGGATATGATGTTTTGAGCACCTCATTTTATATTTAGGAGATGTGGTTGTATGGCCTTTTGGCTCTAAATGGATGTTTGATAATCGCACAAAGGGAGATATGTGATTAAGCTCTCTATTTCCTTTCAAGTTCATGGTTGTAGGCAACATTTAAATTTTGATTTACAAGACATGTGAGTGTTCTTTGATTACACATAACTAAGCTGCAATCCAAAGGTTCATGGTTGTAGGCAGTATTTGAATTTTGATTTACAAGAGATGTGAATGTTCTTTGTGTGAT